TCAACCCTTCCCCATCCAAACCTCTCTGCACCTCCGTCGTCCCCAGCGCCAACAATCCCAGAGTCCACCGCCGCAGAAATGGCTCCTCTACGCCCCAACCCACAACGTCTCGCGCCAATTCCCAAGACAAGACCCATCCTTTGCGCAAGGACAACTTGACCCAGCAACCAAATGAAACAAAAGTTAACAGAAATGAATCGAACACCCCAAATGTGAGCACCCCATTACGTACGAACACGAAGGATGTGGATTTGATGCGTTTGTGCGAAGAGGCTAAGGTCGGAGAGGCGTTGGAGTTTATGGGTCGAGGTGTTTCTGCCGATTACGGAGTTTTTTTGTGTGTTAATGGAATCGTGTGATGGATTGAAGTTGCTTGAGGTTGGGAGGAAGGTTCATGAGTTCATAAGCCATTCACCGTTTCGCGGGGATATTGAGTTGAGCACTAGAAATTGGTACAAATGTATGGGAGGTGTGGGAGTATGAGAGATGCACGCAAGGTGTTTGATAGAATGCGCGAGCGGAGCAAGGGTTTGTGGCATTCGATGATCAGTGGGTATGCAGTGAACGGGCAGGGTGATGAGGGGCTGTTGTTGTTTGAACAAACGAGGAATTCGGGATTGAAGCCTGATAAGGAGACTTTTTTGGTAGTGTTGGCGGCGTGTGCTAGTGCGGAAGCTGTAGACGAAGGCTATGCGCTCTTCGAATCGATGACGAATGAATATGAGATCGTACCAGAAATTCAGCATTATTTAGTACTTATTGATGTCCTTGGGAAGTCTGGTCATTTGAACGAAGTAGAGGAGTTCATTGAGAAAATACCATTTGAGCCTAATGTGGAAGTTTGGTAGGCTCTTAGGAAGTTTGCGCAAATTCACGGAGATATTGAGCTTGAAGATCGTGCGGAGGATTTGTTGGTTAGTATCGACCCTTCTAAGGCCAATGCTGACAAAATCCCATTGCCTCTGCAGAAGAAGCACTCGGAGATTAACATGCTAGAGGAGAAAAATAAGGTGAATGAGTATCGGAGTACAAATGAGGAGTATGAGAAATTGCAAGGTTTGAAAGGACAGATGAGGGAAGCAGGCTATGTGCGTGATACAAGATACGTGCTCCATGACATTGATCAGGAGGCAAAAGAGCGGGCCTTGCAGTATCATAGCGAGCGTTTGGCAATTGCTTATGGTCTGATCAGTACTCCAGCCAGGCAGACTCTAAGGATTATAAAGAATCTCCGAATCTGCGGTGATTGTCATAACGCCATAAAAATCATGTCGAAGATTGTTGGGAGGGAGCTGATCGTTAGGGATAACAAGCGGTTCCATCATTTCAGGGATGGGGAGTGCTCCTGTGGGGATTTTTGGTAAAGTTATCTGCAATTAGTGATAAAGCTTCTGCAGCAAGAAAATTCAGAGGAAGATTTATGGCTGGAAATTAAACTTTGTCGAAATTTATGAGTGTTGTTCGTTGTAGATTATTGTTGTACTTAATTCTTTTACACTTAATAGAAAACAAATTTACGGGATGTTTTGTTTGCTCGATTAATTCTACGTTTTATTCAGGATGTTATTGAAACTAAAACGAAGGAAGTGATTACAGGGATCAAATCTCTTTACTGAACTTTTGCCTTCTCCATATGTACATTGAATGAGAATCTTCTCTCCTAATTATACGTTGCCCTGTTTGGGTACCTCTTCTACAAAGTTGTTTAATCGAAGATTTCTGCTACCTTAATCGGTGGAACTGAAGCTTCGACGATGTGTAAGGAAGGTATTTAACCTACAAATGGACTATTATTTATTCAGTTCTTAATCATGATTAGTATTTATTTATTCATAAACCCATCTAATTACACGTGTCCCGTTGTCTTGTGGGGAAAGAGATCTTCTCCGGATCTCTTCTACGAAGGCTACCAAATCAAGTGATTCGAACCTTTGAAATTTCATCCAATGACAAAAAATTATTATAGCTTTTAAGATATCAAAACAGGTGGGTCGTTGAATAAAATTTCAAAAATTCGGATCACTTGATCCGATGATCTTAATGGAAAAAATTCAGAGAGAATATCTTTCCGTCTTATGGTATATGCTGATTGAATAATGGATTATGTGGTTTCCATTTCAGTCCAATACAACATGATTATTCTAACTATTCTACTACAAAGTAGCAACAATGATGTGTGTAACACGTGCCAGCGAATTAGAATATTTGAAACGCTAGGGAATTTCATTAAAATCTGGAAAATGAAAACAATCTAAAGAATTATCTTTTCATAATTTATAAAGATTTTGATCTCACTTTATCTACTGAAATTCAAAAGTCGTTACTTTGCTTTTTGAAACTCAATTTTGAATTTCGATATCACTTTGTCCCTTGAAACTCAAAAATTGTCAATATACTCTCTGACACTCAATATTTAGTCTAGTTTGACTTGTTTCTATGTTTTCTATTAATAACAGTTAAGTTTGCTTATGTGTCATAATTAGCCTCTACTCATGGTTGACGAGCCACAAGCATAAAGCTCACTAATCCAATCAAATGGTGCCACATAGATTGAAAAAAAAAATTAACTTTCAAACATTGTATAACATAATTGGAAAAAAAATAGGGAAAAAAAAAAAAGAAGAGGCAAGAGTAAGAAAAATAGCAAAAAAAATTCGTGGCTTTAATCTCTCCAACCCCTTTCTCTCTCCGATCTCCAGCCACCATATCATTAGTTCTATTGATTTCGTTGTTTCTTATATTCTTAATGGAGGTGATTGGTGAAGAGAGAAGATGGTTCTTTTTATTCTTTGTTACTATTCATTTATTTCAGGGGGAAAGTTGGTATACCACCAATTATAAATTTTGAATGGATGAACTTATTCTAAAAAATATAAATAAGGCAATGTAAAGTAAATTTTGAGTTTCAATGAGTAAAGTAACGAGTTTTGAGTTTTAGTGAGAAAAGTATGATCAAATTCGAATGCCAGGGGAATAAAACAGTGACTTTAATTTTAAGTTTCAAAAGACAAAGTGACGAAACAAAATCGAGTTCCAAAGCCTTGCTTTAATGTAGGGGGCACTAAAGAAGGTGGTTTCGCTTCCTACTCAAGAAATCGTATCTTCAGGGGATTCAAAAGAAAACTAACCCAAGCTCTGTCAATCGTTATTGGCAATTAATTTAGAACATGTGTGATTAAACTTAATGATTTATTTTGTTAAATATTCATATATAATAGTTGCGCCCCCCTTTGTAGTATCCCCTTGCCCCAGAATGAAGTTGATGAAACCTTTTGTGGGACCTTAATGCAAATGGCAAATTTCCGTGTTAAATCAGCTACTTGGATCCAAAATAGTAGTAGAGGTAATAACTCTAGACAACATGTGTTAACAAAAATGTGAAAGCTGGATATCCCGCGTAAGCTCAAACTTTTTAGCTGTACGCTGATGTTTTTTGGGGACGACATGCTCGCCATTTGTGGCAGCGTCTTTATGTAATCCCGTGTTTCATGCTGTCTGTTGATCTTTGCATGTCTGTTAGCCTAGTCTGGCTTTCTTTGCTCTTGGCTAGCCTTTGTGCCTTGGTAATGAATCCTTGCTTCAAAAAAAAAAAAAAAGGAGTTTTAACAAAAAGCTCACAGTACTGTTCACTTTAACGAAAAACCATATTTTTACACTAAAAAGTCAATCCTGATATTATTCACTTTACCCTTTATTTTATTCTTATTATTAAAACTCAAAATTTTCAAGCCATTTTCATTAGTTTTCCTCAAAAGAAAAAAAAAAAGATCTTGAATAGATTGCAAAACTAGGGCAAGGTTACATAAACATATTAGTTCAATTTGTCCTAACTGTCCTTTCTGTAATACAGATAGTGAGGATCAAGCTCATTTGTTTAATGACAGTAATCCTATTGGTTTGTTGGATTGGTTGCATGAGCGTGATGTTTCAGGTAAAGGAAAACTTCCTAGCCTTAGTGAGGCCCTCCTAATCTGCTGGTAAATTTGGAAAGATAGAAATCATGTGGTATTTAAGAATGAAAAACCTTCTCCTAATAGAGTTCATATGTTAGCTTCAATCATGGGTAATGACTATATTCAGGCTAACAATGAAGTCAGGTTGGCTAGTAAACAAAATCTAAAGTTTAGATGAACCTCCACATAGAAGGCAGCTGAAAATCAACTTTGATGGGTCTGTTATTAACTCCGACGCGGCGGCCGACTTTGTGATCAGAAATGAAGAAGGATTTCCAATTGTTGCTGGAGCAAGAAGCGCGGAAGAGAATAGCATCTCTTTAGCTGAAGTTCTAGCTTGAGGAATGCTCTGTGGTTAGCTAAAGGGAAAGGTTTTAAGAAAGTTTGTGTGGCATGTGATTCTAAACTTGTTGATGCAATCAAAGGTTTCTGCGACACCCCTTGGCGTTTGAGGAACATCATTGAAGACATCAAGTGGTTGGTGACTACATTTGATGCCATTTTATGGAGCCATGTCTACATGGAGTTCGAACTCCTTCAACTGTCTAATCTAACATCTAATCTAACAAATCTTTCGTTATTAAAAAAAAAAAATTAAAAAAAAAAAAAAAGGTAAAAAAGATAAAGTTTTATTCAAAAAGTAATGTTTTTCACGGAGTAAAATGGAATCTTCCGATTTTTAAATGGGTGTATGGAATGGCTTCAAGCTTTATGCTTGGGCAAAGTATTGTACCTTGGCGGGGCTGTGAGCATTGCGTCTTGGTTGATGGAAGCAGCTTTTATGCTTATGTAAGGTGCAATTAATTATAAGCGGAAGCAAAGCATCAGCATCTCCCTTCGCTGAAAGAACAATTAATGGTAATGGATCTTTTCTCCTGTTTTATTATTCACTGTTTCATGAACTATATATATTGTCATTTGTCAAGACATTTGTCAAGACCCTTCATTCATCAGCTTCCAACACTCTAAGCCTCCACCCTTCTTGTGTCCTTTAGCTATTTCTGTATTCTCTGCTCTCCTCTTATCTCCGTCATCCCTCGTGGGAGTATGGATCCTGCAAAGGTGTTAGAAACTCTCTACACTTTTCCGGTGGAGGGAATACTAAGTTCAGTCGCTTCACTTGCTGCTCAAGAAATCAGTCTTTTCCGAGGATTCAAAAAAGAGCTAACTAAGCTTCGTGAATCGGTACTTGCAATTCAAGAGTTCTTAGGCGATGTTTCGTACCAACCACGTCACGGGGGCAAGGCGGTGGAGGACTGGGTGAAGAAACTGAAAGACGTAGCTCATGATGCTGATGATGTATTGGAGGACATCAACTACGAAGTTCTCAGGCGTAAAGTAGAAATTCAAAACCACATGAAGAAGAAGGTACTTAACTTCTTTTCGCTCTCCAATCCCATTTTATTTCGTCAAAAGATGGCCCACAAGATTAAGAACATCAATGCGTCACTGGCGAAACTCAAAAGCGATGCAGCTTCCGTCGGCTTAATGGCAAGGAGAGTAGATCAAAACCCTCCAGGTATGGGGAACAGAGAAACCGTCTCATTCTTCGGTCGCGATGAGAAGCCCATCGGAAGGAAGAAGATTGTGTCGGATATCATTGCAGCCTTGATCGAGTCCAAGAATCAGGAAGAGTACCTTTCAGTTAAGGCCATTGTGGGAATGGGCGGACTCGGAAAGACGACTTTGGCAAGATCAATATTCAATGATGATGCTATCGGTAGACATTTTGAGAAAAAAATGTGGGTTTGTGTGTCTGACCCTTTTGATGTTAATTCGATTCTAACTCGGATGTTAGAATCCCTTAAATCATACAGGACAGGACTTATAGCTCGGGAAGCATTGCTGAATGACCTCAAAGAAGGGTTGACAGGGAAGAGGTATATTCTAATACTCGATGATGTTTGGAACGAAGATGACGAGTTATGGAGTGATTTTACGAGTTGTTTGCGGAGACTCAATTCTGCTCCCGGAAGCATTGCCATTGTTACTACCCGCAGTGCTAAAGTTGCATCAATCACAGGGACAATGCCAAGGTGTGATATGGAGAGCCTATCATTAGATGATTGTTGGTCCATATTAAAGAGTGAAGCATTCCCAAATGGTGCTCCTCCTTTAGATCCAACTCAAGAGAACATTGGAAGGGCCATAGCTGCAAAGTGTGTTGGTGTACCATTGGTGGCAAAGGTATGCATCCATATATTATCATATTCACCCTTGCTGTTTTGTATTTTGCTTTCTATTTTAATATATAACATAAACATAGAAATAGAGGGACGTGCGGGGGATTTTTAGGTGTAATAGGTGAGGTTAGATGACCTGCACGCGGTCACTAACAAACCAATTTTACTAGAAAAGAGAGTTAATGGACTATGACCAATAAAAAAATTGAATAATACTTGAATTTCCTCCTTGGGAGATGTGCTCAATTCCACATTTGCAAATAAATTTACGAAAAACAATTTAATATTACTATTATTTGAATGTTACGAAAAATAATTTACCTATTGTTTAAATTTTGTGAAGATAATGTATCTACTATTTTTTGTTTAATAAATTTTAATTTACCTATTGTTCATTTCTTATAAAAATAATTTACCTATTGTTAAGTTTCACAAAACAATGTATATTCAACTGTAATTTACCTACCATTTAATTTCAGGTTAAGTAAAGAAATCTACCTAATCTTTAGGGTCGATTTAAAATTGGTCCTAACTTTTTAAAATATTCCGATTGAATACTTAAGGTATTGAAAATTAGACATCCGTTAGGTCACTGACACTATGTAGTAAAGTTATCAGTGTAAAGTGATGGGGACAACAAATAAATTGAAGGGCATGTTCGAATTTTTACTATCACATCATCTATGGAGCTCTAAATTGTCAAAGCTGCACCTTTTATCCAAGCATGCCCTTCAGTTTATTTGTGCATGTCGTTACTGACACTCTAATGACCTAACAGATGTCCAACTTTTAAAACGTTAGGTAATTATTTGGAATGTTTAAAAAAGTTGAAACCAATTTGGAATTACCTCTAAAAATTAGGTGGTTCTACGTACTTAACCATTTAATTTAATGAAGATGATGTATCTACTATTTCTTGTACATGGATATTAATTTATCTATTGTTTATATTTTATGAAAAAAATTACCTATTTTTTGTATTTATGAAAATAATTTACCTATTGTTTAATTTTTTATTTTTTTTTACGAAAATAATGTTTTTACAATTTTATTTTTACGAATATAATCTACCTATTTTTTAATTTTTTGTGAAAAAATTGAACCTATTGTTTTTAAAAATATAATTTATGTATTGTTTTATGTTTACGAAATTAGACTGATAGATAGAACTAACAAAACAGTACGAAGACTAAATAGATAGATTTTAATGCACTATTAAGTCTTAAATAACGGTAGGCTAATAATATGCATGAGAGTAAGAAATGTTTATAGAATGTAGTGGCACCACCCTATTAGGTAGTGAGCGTTACCATCTTTTTTCGCACAAGTCACATCATCATGGCTTAACAATAATTAATTAGTTTAGTTTTTGTACATATAAAATAATAACTTAAATAAGTAAATTACAATTCCTTCCAAATTTGTTCCCATCAAATCTTGAGATCATTGTCCATGGGCTCGGTTCCTCTCCGGAACCTTCACCTCCGGACCAATTTGTTCGTGGCCGTTAGATGATACCCTACTGCTAGTAATTAATTTTCTTTAATAGTTTTCACATAAAAATTTCTCACTTTCTGCTCCCCCTTCTCTCTCTTTTTTCCATCAAAAAGTCGTAGGAACCTCAATTTCACATCAAAACTCCGGCTTCTCTCTCCTCTTTCAACACTGTACGAGCGAGTTCTAATTAATCATGGTTAAGCCACGAACATGTGGCGTGTTCTAAGAACATCTATAGTGAAGTCAACTATCGTACAAAATGAGTGTAAAATAAGTATAGGGATAAAACGAATCTCTAATAGATCAGAAAGTGAGTCATAGGGACTCACCGGATATATAGTGTATGTCCCCACATATAGGGAACCTTGAGTGGAAAACAGGACTTACAATCTTGATTGAAGCTTTTAATGCTTTTAATTTTAATACTTTTAATTAATTAAAAAAGTGTCAACATAAACAGAAGAATGTGCTCATGGAATGGAAAATGGGGCTCATAATTTTGATTGAAGATTTTAATGCTTTTAATTAAGGGAGTTTTAACAAAAAACTTGCGGTACTGTTCACTTTAATGAAAAACCACATTTTTACACTAAAAAGTCAAACTTGGTACTATTCACTTTATCATTTATTTTGTCATTGTCGTTAAAACTTAAAGTTTTCAAACTCTTTTCATTAGTTTTCCTTTTAATTAATTAAAAAAAATGTTAACCTAAAAAAAATGTGCACCTAATCAAATTATCACCTAAAATCATAAAAACTTCAAATTTAGGGATTCTACTATAAGGACTCTCCCATTGAAGACAATATTCCTTTAGGGACACAAAAATTTCCTTTAAGTCCTTACATGAGTACTCAAAAGTGGTGTTAAGAGTCCCTAAATAAGGACTTCTGTTGGAGATGCTCTAAGAAGGGTGAGAAAGCTTACCATCTAGTACAGGTGATGAGCAAATTCGAACTCTTGTGGTATGGTTTATGCCCGGAAAACAAGAGTTGTTGGGGTCTAAATTTGAAGAACTCTATTAAACTTAATTTTAACCCTTGAAAAAGATTACTCTTATATTAATACCTTGCGTAAGATTATAATCTAATTCTAGTCCCTTACTCAATGTCTAAGTCGGAAATGGATCCTCTCCGGATCCACTATGTGGATAGTACCTGATGAAAACTGGCCGCACGATATACGATGAACGGTTGAGATGTGAGGATCCTAGGGATCCTCACATAGTGGTATTGATGAAAATTGGCTACACGATATACGATGAACGGCTGAGATGTGAGGATCCTAGGGATCCCCACATAGTGAATCCGAAAGGGATCCATTTCCGTCCAAGTCAAAGTACATTTACCTCATTTAATTCTACTTTTCATTTGATTCATCATAATATATTTTGATATAGACGTCTTGTCTACTAATTTTATTTCAATACTATAATTGATATACTTTGTGTTATTCATTTAGGTACATTAAGTTGTTTTTAATTCATTATGATATTTCGTTACATACATTTAGATACATTAACATACATTTCGGTACAAATATTTAGATACATCTTTTAATATATTTAGGTACATCTTTTAACACAAATATTGGGGAGCAAAATTGGACTTTTCATCGAGTGAAAACAAAGTTGAGATTCAATTAAACTATTAACTTTTGTGTTAACAGGTATTAGGAAGCGTGATGCGTTCTAAACATAGAACAAGTGATTGGTCATTGATTCTAGAAAATGAGATATGGCAATTACCAAAAACAGAGGATAGAATCATGTCGGTTTTGAAGTTAAGTTTTGATAATTTGAAGTCTCCATCCTTGAAACAATGTTTTGCATATTGTTCAATTTTCAAAAAAGATTTTGAAATTGAACGGGATGACTTGGTCCAGTTCTGGATGGCTCAAGGATATCTCCTTTCTTCTCGCACCATGAGTATGGAGGACATAGGCAATGACTATTTTAATATTCTATTGCAAAACTCCTTATTTCAAGATGCTAGAAAAGATAAGTACGACATTATTACGGAATGCAAGATGCACGATCTTGTGCATGATCTTGCAGTGGAAGTATTCAAATTTGAAAGCTTGACACGAGACACGGATCAGATGGATGATGATGCACGTGAGATTCAGCATGTTGGACTGATTTCTTCGAGGACGCTTGAAAGAATTCCACAAGGGAGTATTAGGAGATTGCGGTCGTTGTTTGTTGATTGCAAGGTCCCTAGTAACATGTTTGAAAGGTTTAGAGGTTTACGAATGTTGAATTTATCCGAGACTGAAATTGAGGAGTTGCCAAGTTCAATTGGAAAGTTGAAACGCTTGAGGTATCTTAACATTTCCTGGACAAGAATAGAAGAACTCCCCAAATCTATTGGCAAGCTCTATAATCTTGAGACGTTAAGAATGTCACATACAAACATTAAAACGTTTCCTAGGGAATTGGAAAATTTGATCAACTTGAGACATGTTTATTTCGACGAGGATCTGGAAGTTCCATTTGGGATGACAAGATTGACTCATCTGCAAACGCTACCTTCTTTTAAATTGGATAGAGCAAGGCGTCATAGACTTGATGAGCTAGGTGGGTTAAATGAACTGAAAGGGGAACTAGTTATTGGATCATTGGAATTTGTGAGGGACAAGGAAGAAGCGATGGAATCAAAATTAGTGGAAAAGGCAAACCTACGAAAATTGATATTAAAATGGGGGAAAGAAAGAAATGGCAATTTTCTTGACGAGGATATTCTTGAAGGACTCCAACCGCACCCCAACTTAGAAAGCTTGACGATTGAGAAATTCAAGGGTACTAAATTTGCATCTTGGATGATGAGAAATTGTCGAGTAACCAATCTCCGTCATTTGAGAATTAGGAGCTGTGAGAAATTGTTGAGCTTGTGTTGTGGGTTAGAATATTGCCCCTCACTTGAGACGGTGGAAATTGAGGATTGTGGCAATCTAGAATCCTTCCAAATTTCACCATCCCAATCTCTTCAGGAGTTGAAAATAGTTGGTTGCCCAAAGCTAAGATGCACTTCAATTCAGAGTCTGTCCTCACTCCGTGATTTGGTTATTGATAATTGCACTACTCTCGAGGGGGACTTGTCTTTAAACGGTTGCACATCCCTTCGTGAATTGAGAATTGAAGACTGCGATGGATTCACAAGTATACAGAGTGGGCTCCATTCTTGTACTAGTCTTCGCACACTGGATATTGGTAAATGTCGAAATTTGAGGACTTTGTCGGGTCATGGGCTACAAACCCCCGTCTCTCTTGAGAAGATAAAAATATGGAATTGCCCTAATCTAGAGGCTATTCCCAGTTTAGACAACCTCACGTCCCTCACTGAGCTGGATATTGGGGGATGTAATGGATTAATAAGTCTACCGAGTGGGCTTGCATACTGCACATCTCTTACCCTTTTGGATGTCAGTTTTTGTGATGGATTAACAAGTATTCCCAGTTTAGACAACCTCACGTCCCTCACTGAATTAAGGGTCAGCTTCTGCGACAATTTGATATCTCTGGCGGATCACAATGTGTCCAGCTTACAATCTCTTTCCTATTTAGATTTATCTGATTGTGGGAAATTACAATATTTGCCCAAGGGGCTGCACTCTCTAGCTCGTTTGGAAAAGATGGGGATCGGTCCATTCTACGAGGAGCTCGATTCTTTTCCGGATTTTTAGGTCCCATCGAAACTGAATGAATTAAGATTGTACGGGTGGCCTAAGCTCAAGTCTCTGCCTCAGCAAATTCAACACTCTGCTTCTCTAACATCTTTGTCCATTGATCGTTTCGATGGTCTGGAGGCTCTTCCAGAGTGGTTGGGCAACCTCACATCTCTTACAGAGTTGTCAATTCGTTGTTGTGAGAACCTGATGCATCTGCCTACGGTTGAAGCTATGCAACGCCTAACCAAATTGCATGCCCTATGGATTGATTCGTGTCCCCAACTGAAAGAAAGATGCGCCAAGGACAGCGGCCCAGAATGGCCAAAGATTTCTCACATTCCAGATCAGAGGTAATTTTTATTTTTGGAGCCCTTATTTTTATCTCCAATCAATTATACATGTATATTTTGTTCAAAAATTCTTCATTCACTCTCGTTTTCTGCAGTTGTTGGTGATGATTCAAAAGGCACTTACCAGAGTGATGACGGAACCTGTCATGAATCGACCATCTATCTATTCACCGTTGTGGGAATCTCAAGTATCTATCGGCACTGGGGAAGCCAATCCAAATTTTACTGTTGCGTAAAATTTCTGGCATTTCCCAGAGTCAAGTGTAGGTTTCTTTCCCGAAACAGCAATTCATGATTTGTTCTCTTCTCTTGTCTTTCAGCCTCGTGGAAGAACATTAATTTTTTTTGCAACTGTTTACGAGTCTGCGGTTATTCTGTATCTATATATCTATATATATATATATATATATAAAGTGAGAAGGATTAAAAGGTGAAACATTCAAAATACCAAAAATTGTCCTTCAAGAATTCTTAAAATTACAATTGAACCATAAGAATTTAAAGTAATTCACCACATTTTAATTTTGAATGAATTTTAAATTTAAAACTTTAACTAAAAAAAAACTCCCATGTTAGTGGGCGGTTTCATGGTTTTGCTTCATTTTTTTTTATGAATAATTTTTTAATATAATATAAAATAGTTATTTAAAAAAAAAATTAAAAGACATAATCTAATATAAAAAGGCCAATTGCCACACGCGTATGCGTGTGGCAAGAGGCTAGTATGTTATAATGTTCAAATATGTTCTAAGGCATGTTGCGCATGGTTGTTACTTGTTATGGTGCAGATATACTTTTTTACAAGGTTGTGTTTCTTCTCACTGTGTGCACGTCCTCTCAACTTACACAGTTTTATTAGACCAATTTTATGGAAGGTAATCTGTTTAGTCAATATGTAACTTCTTTGTTCAAACCTTTCATCCTTAAATAAAACCATGTCAAGTTATCTAGAATACATTAATCACAGATAAATTGGATTTTATGAAAGGAGAGCAAGTGCAGAACAACGGAAACTTAGATGCAAAAAATAGCTGATTTCGGTCTGTCCATGGTTTTTTTTTTTTTTTTTTTTTTTTTTTTTTTTTTTCCAGTGGTAATGAGACTTGTGTGGTGACATCGGTCATGGGCAGAGCGGGTTATCTTGATCAAGAGTATGTTCAAATTTCCGTGTGCCCGTGTGCTATTAGATTTTTTATCATGTTAGAAACACAAATGTATGAACAGTGAGTGGTTTATTTGTGATTACATTTTTTGGTCTGCAGGTACTATAGTTATCAAGGGTTGAATGAAAAAATTGATTTTTACAGTTTTACTGGCCAACCTGCAACCATAGAAAGTGATGATCTTGTCCACATAGTGGAGTGGGTGAATCCAGAATGGGGTTTTAACAACGAATTTGGATCAAAGGATTCAAGGAGAGTTCGATGTGAATTTGGTCTGGAAAGCATTAGAGACAGCAATGACATGCACAACTTCCACCTCCCAGCATAGAGCCACCATGGTTGGTTTTGTGCTGCGTCAACTAACAAAATGTATGGAATGAAGGTGTCTAAGCATCGAGAAAGAACTCCAGGCTCTAATGAAGAAGCTCGTGTTATGATTTCACCATACCAGAGTTCACCTAGAGTGATTTCCATATGTTGAGGTACACTTTTGTACAAGGTTGTGTTTCTTCTCACTGTGTGCAGGTTCTCTCAACTAACACAGTTTTCTTAGACCATTTTTTTAGAAGGTAATCTGTTTAGTCAATATGTAACTTCTTTCTTCAATTTTTCATCCTTGAATAAAATCAGGTCGAGTTATCTAGAATACTTTAAACACAGATAAATTGGATTTGTATTTCTGCTCACTTAAGAAGGGCATCCAGTAGGAAAATTGCATTAAGAGAGGAGCAAGCGCAGTGCAATAAAAACTTGGACGCGTAAATAGCAGATTTCGGTCTGTCCGGTGTTGTTTTCAGTGATAATGAGACTTGTGTGGTAACATCGGTCATGGGCAGAGTGGGTTATCTTGATCCAGAGTATGTTCAAGTTTCTGTGTTCTATTAGATTTTTTATCATGTTATAAATACAAATGCATGAACAGTCAGTGGTTTGATAGTACTTTTTTTAGGTCTGCAGGTACTATAATTATCAAAGGTTGAATGGAAAAAATTGATTTTGAGAGCTTTACTGGCCAACCTGCAATCATAGAAATTGATGATCTTGTCCACATAGTGCAGTGGGTGAACCCTGAGTTCCAGAATGGGATTTAACAACTATTTTGTATCGAATGATTTGAGGAGAGTTCGATGTGAATTTGGCCTGGAAAGCTTTAGAGGCAGCAATGGTATGCACAACTTTCACCTGCCAACATAGAGCCACCGTGGGTTTTGTGCTGTGCCAACTAACACAATGTATGGAATAGAGGTGTCTAGGCATCGACAAAGAACTCCAGGCTCAAATGAAGAAACTCGTATTACGATTTCACCATACCAGAGTTCACCTAGAATGATTTCCATTGGTTCAGATTCCACAAATGCAGGTTCAATTTCAGCACCATGCTAGGTAGCTATTTAGGCTTTACCTTTTGCTGGTTCCTACAAACTATCTCATTCATTCCATGTTCAAAACTTGATGGGTTAAAAATGGGTGTGGGATCTGTTGTGCAGTGAATCAGTGTAGGCTAAATACTAATATATATCGATATTGTCCTCGAGGTAATCACTTTGGAACAATGTTTGAAATGCTTTGACTAGAAAATACGTTGGCTTAACCAAATTGCTCTCTTAGTATGAACATTGAATGATCCATTGATTGACGTAGACTAAGCATCTCCATGTAATAAGGATCATGTTTCATGTAAAGTTGTGCAGCATGAGGTACAAATCCACACTGTCATGTACGTTTTTCTGCTTTTTTGGTCGGAACATTGTCATGCGTAATAAATACCAGGTAGTTCATAGGCTGCAGTGAGACAAAGAGAGAAGAAGATCTCAACTGGTTTCCTCGTCCTACTGCTCTGTGCAAGTTTTGTTCATGGAGAGCACCGAATAGGTTAGCATTTTCTTTAACTAAAGCGAATGGTATTGTGTCCTTCAGATTTTTGATGTGCTTATAAGTTCTGTTTTAGTTCAGATTCAAGCAAGTGCAAGAAGAACGTGGTTGTTCCAATACTTGGATCCTTACTGTCAGCAGTGGCCCTCCTCCAAGTTATAGTGCTCAAACTGGTATGGAAGCTGAGAAGAATAAGAAAACCAAGTACCATTTTATACCTTTGACACTTATTCAGTTAGAACTGGCGCTCCTACTATGGTGTAGTGGTATTCCTAACCAGTTAGTCTGAACTCATATCTTTTTGTCTACTTAAGCTGCAGATGGAGATAAACGTAACAACACTCCTGTAGCATCAGAAGTCCTAGTTCACTTATGATGAGGTTTTAGAAATCACCTAAAACTTTAAAACGGAAATTTGGAAAGGAGGTTTGGGATTGTATACCATGGCTAGTTGAAATATGGCACTCAAGTTGTGGTTCTACATCGTCATCTCAAGGAGCTAGCTCAGCTAGGGAGTTCCAAACGGAGGTTTGACAGTTTGAATTTAATTCCTTGGAATGCAAGTTAAATGCCTTGTCTCGTTGGTTAGGGATTGATGAGTTCCTTGTCGCTGCAGGTTGAGCTCCTGATGAGAATCCATCATAGAAACTTGGCCTCATTTATTGGATACTGTGATGATACCTATAAGTTGGCACTTATATACAAGCACATGCCTAATGAAAACCTAAAAGAATATCTCTGATCAGGTATGTAATTCTATATTTTACATAGCATTGTCCTCCAACAGAGGGTTTCAAAATATTGAAGTGTCACGTTAATGGTTGCAGATGCAGATAGAAGCTCACATAAACTTGGGAAATGAGACTATAGCATTAGATAGGTGCTTAGTGTTATTTTGTATGCTACTATATATGCACAATCCAGTATTGTGCATAGCGGTGTAAAGACCGCCAACATTCTCTTGTCTTGAATTAAAACTTAGATGCAAAATAGCAGATTTTGGTCTGTCCATGGTTTTTCCCAGTGACAATGAGACTCTGGTGGCATCGGTCATGGGCACAGCGACGTATCTTGATTCCGAGCATGTTCAGATTTCGTGTTCTACTGTTGTTAGAATTTTGATCATGTTAAAAAAAACAAATCTCTGAGCAGTAATGATAACTTTATTTGGTCTGCATATACTATAATTAGCAAGGTTGAATGAAAAAAAAATTGATGTTTAGAGTTTTACTGGCCAACCTGCAATCACAGAAAATGATGATCTTGTCCACATAGTGGAGTGGGTGAATCTTCAGTTCCAGAACGGGGATTGAACAACTATTTTGGATCAAAGGCTTCGAGGAGAGTTCAATGTGAATTCAGTCTGGAAAGCATCAGGGACAGCATTGCATACCTCCCAACATAGAGCCACCATGAGTTTTGTGATGTGCCAACCAACACAGTTTCTGGAAATGGAGGTGTCTAGGCATCGAGAAGGAACTCCAGGCTCAAATGAAGAAACTCGTGTTACGATTTCACCATACCATAATTCACCTAGAGTGAATTCCAGATGTTCATATTCCACATATGCAGGTTCCATGACAACACCATTCGCTGGGTAGCTAGTTAGGATTTAATTGCAGCTGAATGAAGAGGAGGCAGTTGTCAATTTGGTCATCAACTTTCGAATACAAGTCTACTCCATTCCAATCACCAACGTCTGGCAGAAAGATGCGCCAAGAACAGCGGCCCAGAATGGCCAAAGATTTATCATATTCCAGATATCAGAGGTAATTTTTATTTTTTTTCTCCAATCAATTATTCATGTTTATTTGGTTCAATATTGTTCACTCACTCTCGTTTTCTCAAGTGTTAAGTGTTAACCAAACATATTCCTTGCTTAGTTCAATCGGGATTGGTACGAATCTGAATAAAGAAAGATGCAACCTGCCCGACTGGCCCAAGATTTCACGCATTTCCGACAGTCAAGTGTAGGTTCTTTGAAACGGATGCAAATCGGTGCGTTTTGGGAGGAGCTCGATTCTTTCCCTGATTTTCAGGTTCCATCACAGCTTGAAGAATTAGAATTGTGCGGGTGGCCTAAGCTCAAATCTCTGCCTCAACAGATTCAACACTTGACTTCTCTAACATCTTTGGCTATTTCCCTTTTCGATGGTGTGGAAACTCTTCCAGAGTGGTTGGGTAACCTTACATCTCTTACTCTGTTGGAAATTCGGCATTGTGCAAATCTTCTCTATCTACCTACGGTCGAAGCTATGCAACGCCTAACCAAACTACATGAGCTACATATTTTTAATTGACCCCGTCTTGGTGAAAGATGCACCAAGGGCAGTGGCCCGGAATGGTCAAAGACATCCCACATTCCAAAAATCATAGGTAATTTTTTTCCTCCAAATTGACTATCCATCTATAATTTGTTCAATTCTCTTTGCTCACTTTCTGTTTTCTGCTGTATTAAGTATTAACTGAACATATTCCTTGATTAGTTGAAAGATGGTGATTTGAGCCATTCGGCGCCTCAACGATCCAGCACGGTTGGATATTCATGGTTTTCATCTTTAAAGAAAAATATGTGCATCGAGGAGTAGTAGCTGTCATGAAGTTGTGCAAGATATTGCTCTCATCCTAATTGCTTCAAGTTTCATACTGAAAAGAAAGTTGTTAAGTGTAACGTTACTCGCAACAATAAACATTAACAAGGTTAAGTCTTTCGGCATCATAACTTGTTTTCGATTATAGTGACTTGATTTTGGTTTTTTAGTTTTCAAAATACTGTAATTGCTCGTAATTTGCCTGTTAGATTATAATTTCAATTTTTAAAAATTAGATATTAAAAAAAAAAAAAATCATCAAAGATCTCTATATAAAACTTTATTTTGAGCCTTGTTGAAATTTTCAAGAACACGATTAAGCACTGAGTAACCTGTTTGAGGACAATGGAATATCCTGCAATGGTCTTTAGGTTTATTGTACTATTAAAAAGTGGCAGCCCTCAATTATCATTAGTTGTTGATTTGTGTAGGTGATGTAGAAACCATATAATCCAAACAAATCCAATAATTTTATCGTTAGGAGAATCAATTAGTGTGTAACTAAATTGGAATGATCTATAAAGACAACTATTTGACCCCAAACAGCACAATGATTTCAGTTTGGCAAATCTGTTGCTTCCAAATCATAATTTTAAACCATAAGAAAACTCCTTTCCATAACTAATTGCAACCTGCATGGGTTCATTAACTCAATGGTAGGCTTGTTAATTCAAGTATATTCCTTTTAAAGCAAACCAATTCAATTAACACTTAAAAGGGAAATTTTATTTGAATCTAAGTAACCTCTCTCTACACCCAACAGAGAATATGATGGATTGAATAGCTAAACTTGTAGGTGAGTTGTCAAGAGATAGTTTCGATTTATTCCTTGTTCTTCTTTGGAGTATGTGGAAAGAAAGGAACTCCTTTTTGTGGCAAGGAAAGGCACTCGAACTGACGGAACTACTTTGTCGGGCAATTAGTTGGATGAAAGAATTCCAACACTGGCATGGAAAAAATGAAAAATGCGGCTGTAAAGTTTCTCAAAAATGGATGGAAGTGTAATTTTGATACGGCTTGGGATGAAAATAGAAGTATTGGTGGCATTGGGGTGGTGATTCGGAATGATAAGGGTGATTTTGTGGCGGCCTTGGCAAAGAGGCATGATGCTATTCCTTCCCCTCTGCTGGCCGAGACTATGGTAGCTAGGGATGCTCCTTGGTTGGTCAAGGAGAAGCAATTACAAGCCTTGGTTTTTGTACGGGATGCGTTACTTGTGATGGTAGCTCTTCAACAGGATAGTTAACGGGATCACTCGTTGTTCAGAAATATTCTAAATGATACTCGCTTGATGATTCAGGCATTGCCCCAATGGAAAGTTGGTTTTAGAGGTAGGGAGACGAATAAAGTGGCGCACAGATTAGCACGAATGAGTCTGAGTTGTGATAATCCTATTATTTGGTTTGAAGAACCTTCTGATGTAATTGTGGATCTTCTAAATGAGGATAGCAATTCCTAATTTGTTTAGTGCGGGATACTCTTTTTCCTTTCGACCGGGTTGAAATTCCTCGCAAGGTTTTATCAAGGCCCATTGTATGCACCCTATCCTTTTTTATTGTACATATTTATATCGTTAATGAATATCGTGAATTTTCTCAAAAAAAAAAAAAATCAATATCTCTTTTAAACCCAAATTTGTTACCTAAACTATCATTCCAAACCCAATTCAAATGTAAATTTATCTCTACACCCATTTTTAAAATAAAATCTCAAATTAGATAGTTTTATCTCTACACCCCTCACGGATGCAATTTTGTATAAACTCTCTGTAACATGTACACTAACGAATACCAAGATCCTTGATATATTTTTGTTCTAAAGAATTCCGGTTTTAGCTCTTTAGGAACTGAGTTTTTTGTTTTTAAATTGTTCTCTAGATTTTTCTATCAATTGCTTCACTGCATATTATTTGATCTTTATGGTAAAGTTTCAAACTTCCACCTGGAGCTGTGTATAACACTATAGCATTTCCCATGGTTGCTGCAACAATTTATTAATACTTTCATTACGGTTGTTGTAGAAAGTTTAACAAACTATGCTCAGCCTGGAATTGACGAAAAGAAAATTGAAACCCAACTTCTAAATTCTAAACAAAAATTGAGATCAAACCAACAAAAAAAATTCATTAATCAAGTCCTATCTTAATTGGAGGATTCAAAATTTCAAAATCATTATCTACTGATAAAAAAAACTTGTTTTTATCAATAAAAGCTATTAGGTTTTATCCGGAATGAACGTAGGCTATACAAGAAGCGATGGTAAAGGTCAATTATAGCATGTGGGTTTATTGATAAATTTTAGTTTTATTATTCATTTCATCTTCTACTTGATGGTAATTATGCAATAATGTAAAAAAGACAATTAACATCTAAAATTTAAGTTGAGTGTGAAAAGAAGTTACATGAGTTTATTCCTTTCTTGTAAATAGTTACTTCTCTTTCTTGCAAATCACACTATTACGAACTAGACGAAATAACTCATCAAAATTAAACAAGAAACTTATATAGACGTGTCAAATTATAAATAACAAGTGAGTAAGAACAACTATTTCAGATAAACGAAGTATTGTCTTGCAGGCTATGAGTGGAAAGCTTTACACTCTTGTCCACCGACTCTGTCTTAAAAATATTAGTTTTGAAAATGATTGATTGATTTCATTTTTATTTACTATCCAATATGAAAGAGGATAACTAATGCATTACGCGAACGATTCATCTAAGAGCAAACTCACCATGCAAAAAATGTGATAACGAAAAAGATGTTCCATCAAAATCATGATTAAGGTGGCATGGTTAATCATTGAGTCAGATGAAAGACAAAGTAATTGTAACTTCAAAGTCCCCCAAAACCATGTACCACAATTTGTTTTTTTTTTTTGGTTAGAATTCTCTATTTTTTTCTTCATATAAAAAAAAAAAAAAAGTGCATGGCCCACATGGGACCCACAGGAAAGACCATCCAATGAAAGGCGTCCACGTCACTAGGACACCAAACACTTTCAGTCAAACAGACAATGATAAGGTAGGAGGAATGCCACTATCATCATCTCGCTCTCAAGTCAAAGAAACGAAGCTGTAAATCCGGAACCGTAAAACGAGCATCTAATTACGGTAAATCCAATCGCCGCGAAAAAGTTAACAGATACGGCGCCGTATGCCAGAATTTGACAGCGGGTAAAAAACATTTTAACGACTTGAAAATTCCGTTAGGACGGATTAGGCGTTGCGAGCGTCGGTGGTGGTTAACCGCAGGTTGTTTTTTCGGTTGAGAGAGAGAGAGAGAGAGAGTGAAAGAAGAGAGAGAGAGAGAGAGGGGGAAGTGGCTTTGTATATAAGCCACAGCGAAGCCAGAGGCTTACTAATTCTTGAAGAAAAGGAGGAGAGAGAAACTCAGGGAAGGAGAAAGAGAGGAGGGGCTGTTTGGGAGACGCGCTGAGTGCAATTCATGGCTGAACCAAACGACGCCGTCTCCCTCGATATGGAGAAGATCTATCTCGGTGGAAAGGTTCGAGCTTTATACTTCAAAGATTGAATTTTTTTTAATTTTTTTATCTGTTGTTTTTGACCCTTTTGCTTTGGAATTTTGGGTTGGCGAGATGAGAGGTTGGGGTAATTGATTGGGAGCTGTTTGGCATTGGCTCCAGATGTTTTTAGTTTATCTATTGCAAAATTTGAATTTCCGCATTTTTGTTCTTGGGTTCGGATTCTGGAAAATTGGTGTTGGAATCCATTGAATTTTTGGAGTTATTTACTGTTTGGTTGCCGAGAAAACGAGGGAAAATTGATGGGAAAGCTGCATTTCTGTAAAATTTGTATTCTGGGTTGTTCCCCTGCCACAAGTCTTCTGTGGACCTGTGGCATTTGACAGCGACGACTAATTTGGCTTTGATTAAGTGAAAAGAACATTAGAACAATTTAGTTTCAAAGGTTTCTTGATATCGGTTTTGCGAAAAACTTAATTTTTGGTAATTTCTAGATCTAAGCGTGACGTATTTGCTAGATTTCAATTTTCTTTCTACATTGGTTTTTACCGTTATAGGTAAATCGAATTCTTTTCCATTTTCGTGCGCATTTCTGTGTCTGGGATTTGTATATGTTAACATCACCCAAGGACGGATCCACATAGGGACCAGGGAGGTCCCAGGATCCGTCGGCAATCCTAAATCGTTGCTATAAATTTTCCGAGGACCCCTCGTACTCAATCATGTGGTCTGTGTAGGTTGCAGTGGCTGTCTTCTTCTTGGAGAAGATGACCGCGCACGGGGAAGAAAGAAATAGGGACCCTTCCTGCCTCTCTCCTCCTTGCTTCTGCCATGGTCTCATTCATCGGTGCCACCCACTTCTCCTCCAACCTTTCTGTGTCGTCTGGTGAGGGCAGTACATAAGCCCAAACTTTCCCAAATTATTTCAACCATCTTAGTAATTTTTCTTATGGGTGAAGTTTCTTTCATAAGGTTAGTAATATGGATATGATCTGTCATGGGTTGGTGAAATTTGGTGGTGGAGCTACCATGGCTTCGGGAGAATGGGGAGGGAGGCGGTTAGTGGAGGTATGGCAGCTTTGTTTTTAGTGAGAGAGAAGGTGAATGTTTGGAAATTAGTAAAAGAGAAAAATGGTGTGTTTGGTTAGAAAGATAGTGGGAGTTTGGGGAGAGTTTTATTTGACCGGTGTTTTAATTTGCTATCCACACACCCCTTTTTACTTCATACACACCCTCTTAATTTGCGGCCGTCGGATCGACTGAATTAAAAAAGATCAAATGACAGAAATAAATAAAGGGTGTGTGAGACGCAAAAAGGGGTGTGTGAATAGCACACCCCTTTAAATTTAGTGGTTCATATTAGATAATCAATAACTTAGGTACTCCCTAGTAACTTATGAAACCTCGTAATGGACGCTTGAATTATGATTTTATAATTTGTAATATTGTTTTGCATATGATTTTTAAATGAAATGTATTATATTTAAATTTTCAATGTTATTTTTGTCTATAAATTTTTTGACCTTTATAATTGGGACCCTCCGAGTTTAAAATCCTGGATCCGCCACTGACATCACCTGGTTCGTTGTGATGGTGAAGTTTCCTTTCTTTTCCATTCTCCTTTTATTTTGATCTCATTGTGTTATT